TAATGCAAAAATCTGTTTAAAATGGAAGATATCGTACAAATATAATGTGCATAAATAGAGCCATAATAAATTTGGTAGCAAAATAAATAAATCTTGTCAATAAAGGAAGATTATAATTAATATCTTCTGAAAAATGCAATGATATAAAGATCTTGACGAGAAAGGAAGACGTGCAATCAAATCCTTCAAGAATGGAAAACAGCATCTAATGAAAAATGAAAGATTATAAAATCTTCATGTTGGCCAATCAGAACGCGCCACGTTGTATCATTCAAAAGGGAAGCCAATATCACATATCCCCTATAAATAGGAGTCATGGCAATTCATTTTAGAGACCGAAGTTGTATCGAGGATTCAAGCAAAGAGGTAAGTCTCTATACTCTCTCTGTATTGTTCTTCATGTTCTTTGTGTCCTTTGAAGCATTCTTTGTCGAAAGTCATTGATTTGGACAAATGATCCAATATTGGTTGACGAATCGATGGAGTTAACGTTCTTCGTCGCATGCCCGAGCCGGAGGAAGGATCAAAGCTCCCAAAACCGTTGAGGAATTCGTCAAAGCCAAGGGAAGGTCTCCGAAGTTCCTCTCAAAGCTTCAAGATGTTCATCGCTTTCTTCAACAAAGCATCAACTAGGCCCTCTTCGATCCAAAAGTCAAAGGGACACGCCGCCAAAAGTGTTATGGAGCACCAAATCCACCTCTTCAAGGATCAAAGCTTCAAAAGCCGTTGAAGAATCTATCAAAGTCAAGGAAGAGCATCCAAAGTTCATCCCAAAGCTTCAACGTGTTCATCACGTTCTTCGCCAAAGCATCAATCAGGCCCTCTTCGATCCAAAAGTCAAAGGGACATGCCATCAAAAGTGTTATGGAGCACCAAATCCACCTCTTCAAGGATCAAAGCTCCAAAATCCGTTGAACAATCCATCAAAGCATTGGCTAATTTCATGAATTTCGCTATAATAGTTTGAAGGCTTTACTAAAGATATGATACTTTTACCAAATCCATGCGGAAGTCCATATACTCGAGCAACATCATCATCGGTAATATGTCATTCCGTCCCATCTAAAAAAACAAAACACTTTTTCTTGGTGTCCCAATTTCTCATTAACTGAAGCAGTGGCTCACTATTTATTTTTGTTTTCCTAACATATAAAAGACCCTCAAAACATGACTTCTCAATATAGGATCTAAACACTTCCTTATTTTCAGACTCTAGCATCTTATTCAATTTTGCTATTTTACTCGGGATGGAATACATCTGAACATGTTTAGCCATTTCTCCCCTGTAAAAATACAAAATTAAACATAACACAATCAGTAGAAATATATCATAATTCAAAAAATACAATACCATTATGTATGTGGCTTTTCACTACCATTAAGATGAAATTGTAAAGCTAGAAATGAAATAAGATGAAGTACTTAAGTGAGAAATAAGAAAGTTGGATCTCAGTGCCGAGACAACAATTCTCGATCAGTTGTTGCTGCTGTCAACAAAGGAAAATCAGTCATGGAATCTGAGCCAGCATCATGCAACACTTCCAGGAACACATACCTTCAGGTACGCTGTGAACTTAAACTTTGCAAAATAGTATACTGTTACAAGGCCGAATTTCACGTTTTAATTTGCATGGATTGCGTGAGGAACAAATAGTCGTGGAACTTTGAAATCAGATTTGCTTAACTTGCTACTTGTTATGCCGAGATATTAATTTTCAAGCTGCACTTGAAATTGTTTGATTGTTGGAACTCTGTTTTTCTCGGTTTGTTATTTCTTGCTTCAGCTATTCCCGGAGAATAGCAGCAGAGACCCACCCCAGCTGCTCAACAACGAAGAAAAGTTAAGGCTCGGTAGACAAGACTGGCCTGGTCTTGTTCAACTACAGCCGAGAGAAGCATTTCATGATTTTATGGCCCCAGCACCCGACCAAGGACAATCGTTCGCCAGACAGAGGATGATGCTCGCAAGAGCTGCACGGGGGCCATAAAATCATGAAATGCTTCTCTCGACTGTAGTTGAACAAGACCAGGCCAGGCTTGACTACTGAGCCTCAGCTTTTCTTCGTTGTTGGGCAGCTAGGGTGGGTCTCCGCTACTATTCTCTGGGAATAGCTTAAGCAAGAAATAACAAACCGAGAAAAACAGAGTTTCAACAATCAAACAATTTCAAGTGCAGCTCGAAAATTACTATCTCGTCATAACAAGTAGCAATTTAAGCAAATCCGATTTCAAAGTTCCACGACTATTTGTTCCTCGCGCAATCCATGTAAATTAAAACGTGAAATTCAGCCTTGTAACAATACACTATTTTGCAAAGTTTAAGTTCACAGCATACCTGAAAGTATGTGTTCCTGGAAGTGTTGCCTGATGCTGGCTCATATTCCATGACTGATTTTCCCTTGTCTACAGCAGCAGCAACTGATTTTCCCTCGTCGAGAATTGTTGTCGCGACAGCATCATCATCCTGTTTCTGATGATGAGTTTTTAATCTAATAATTAGTTGGTTTTCAATCCCATCAAATGCTTGGATCAAAACATCAATCAAAACATCAATGATGAATATCAGTAATCAGTATTACTGCTAAAAACACAAAAATATGCACAAAACATGAATCTTGAATAGCAAAAATTTATGACTAATTGTCCATCATTGAACGATACCAGTACAACCCAATAGTAATGTCCAGTATCAAAATTGAATACCTAATGAACGCTACCTGAATAATGAACCTGTATCCATACACCATACACCCGACTACCAACTTCTTGCAACACAACAAACTAACTACATTTTTACTTTCTTGTAGATATCTTTTGTTGTCATGAATTCATAAAGATGTGCAAACTCCAGTTAGCTTTGCAATGAACTCACATCACATGCTGCTACCATTAGTCCTATCATGTTATATGCAGTTTCCCCAACTACCTATGTCCTCTGCTCATCTGTGTTTGGTGTTATCTTAAATGGATTTGTACTCAAACCAACCCAGTAATGGGAAACCCAACGCTCCGATGCCCTAATTCATCAAAGGGTTGAACTTATACACACACATATCATATGTAACCACATATACGACTTCTTGTATCACACTAGACGTAAAAGAAGACCAAAAATAAAAAGGAAAAAAGGCATCCCTTCTACATTATAGCTCCAACAACCCTAATGTAGAAATACACAGCTATACTCGCTACTTCTTCCCTAAAGATACATTATACAAACTTAGTTTGCAAATTTTCTTAAGATTGAAACACATTAGAAAACACAATAAACACATTATACAAATTACACAACCTGAGTGTGAGTGAGAAATCTGAATCGAAGTGTTGGAGTTCGCTGCAAGAAGATTCTGAATCAAATGTCTATGGCACAGAACAAAATTAGATTGAGAGTTTGACGTTGGATTCGCATCAGAAGACTCGCCGGCGGTTGAGAGAATCTGAATGACGAGAGAATCGCTCGATTCAGCGCACAAGGAAGAAGAAAATGGCAAGAATCGATTCAGCGAAGAAGAAAGTAATTTAATGAAAAGACAAAAACACCCTTGATTAATTACGGTCGTTAGATTATAATGAATGGTGTTATCTTGCAACACATTGAAGGTGTTTGAGAAAGAGTCTTTTTATTAGTTTTTAACTTATTAAATAGCTTTTAATTATTTGATCAGTTAAAAATTTAATTTACGATATTTGATAAATTAGTCTTTTGGATCCAAAAGGCTAACCTACCCACATTTTAGAAAAAAAATTTACTTTAATTTTATTTATTCTTTATCTACACTTAAAAATAAATAATTTATTTCATACATATAAATATATTTATATTAGAGTATTTATTAATTTTTTAATATATTTAATTTATAAATTATAATTTTATTTTTTAATTTAAAATAATTAGTATGATTACTTATTACATATAAATTATTTTATTTGTAAAATATATAAATTTATTAAAATTAAGTCAAATAAAATAGACAAATATTATGAATTAATTTTTATATATTTTTATTATATAAATTTTATTTTATATTAAAATTGAATAAAAAATAATTAATATAATAAACATATATATATAATTTATTATTTTATATTTTACATAATTTTAATAAAAAAAATTATTTTTTTCTTAAAATATTTTTTCAAATATAAATAAATATTTTATATTAATGCTTTTATAATTTTTAATAATTAATAACAAAATTCTCAAAAATTTAAAATTAAAATTAATAAAATTAAATATTTTAAAAAATAATGTACAAATATTTTTAATTATTATTTTATTAAATATTTTACTAGAAACAATTAATTGAATTCAATTAATATTTTAATAAAAACAGTTAATTGAATAAATAAACAAGCTCATTCCCAAACGTACGCACCCGTTATGATCGTCCAATTAATTTTGGCAATGGTTTTTCAAATTTGTTGCACGAAACCTACGATTAACGCAGCAGCCGCAACGTGGCTCGACAATTAGGTGTATGCTCCTACACTCTAAACTATAGAGTACACGTGGCTATGTGAAGTGGGTGGCGATAGGGACAGTGCCGTAACACGTGGCGCGGGCTCTCACCGTTGTTTCGTAGACCCTCAAAATCGGACGGTTCAAAACCATCTGTTTTTTTTCTTTGATCTATAACTTAGCATTTATTAGTGGCGGAAACTTTCAAATACAAGATAAGTACTTATTTAAAGAAGAAAAACTAATTTACAAAAATAATCAAAACCCTGAAACTACTGTTGATAAAAGTATTGGAACATCACGTCACCACGTCGCATCGTATGCGCCACGTGCCCCTCAGCCGTTGAATAATATACACTGTATTACGAATCCCAGGACTTGAACTCCAACCATATCCGCAGCATCGTGTGTACTACACCCGGACCCGAACTCCATGGATCCACTAAAAACTTCCAGCTGTTCCCACTCTCTTCAAACAGTTGATATTTTGGCGGGTATATATTCATTCACCTTCTTTCAGAACTCAACTGACAATAAAGCATCAGTAAATAATAATTTCAATTCAATAAAATGAAGATCACCATCGTCAATGGATCCCCGAAATCCACCGATAATAATGTTCTAAACTGCAAATTCCATGCCCTAATTTCCTACCAGCCCAGCAATCTCGATGAGCAAAACAGCAATTTCGTCACCGTCGATCGTCCCTCGCCGCCACTCCTCCGCCGCCGCCGGAAAACTACAATTCCGCCACCAATTATGATCCGAAAATCGGATGTCATCACCGGCGTTGCAAGCAACCAAAACTCTCCCTGCGTGAAATCACCATGGGCGTGGGGGCCAAACCAAAACCGCGATATTTCCCCCAAACAGCAGGGAACCCTAATCCGCGAAGACGGCCATGTTTACTCGATCGCGGCGGCGGGTGAGCTGCTGTACACAGGGTCGGAAAGCAAGAATATTCGAGTGTGGAAGAGCATGGAGGAATTCTCAGAGTTCAAATCCAGCAGCGGTCTCGTGAAGGCCATCGTCGTGTCGGGAGATAATATCTTCACGGGGCATCAGGACGGGAAAGTTCGAATTTGGAAATTCCAGAAGGCGGCGTACAGCCGCGTCGGAACTCTGCCGAAGCCGCAGGATCTGATGGTGAAATCGATGAACCCTAGAAATTACGTGGTGAGAAGGAGGAGGAAACGAAATTATGTTCCATGGATCAAGCACTACGACGCCGTTTCGTGCTTGAGCATCGATTCCGAGTGCGGGCTGCTGTATTCTGGATCGTGGGACAAGACGCTCAAAGTCTGGAGAATATCCGATTCCAAGTGCCTGGAATCGATCCCGGCCCACGAAGACGCCGTCAATGCCGTCGCCGTGGCGTTCGCCGGGCTAGTATTCACCGGCTCGGCTGACGGCACGGTGAAGGCGTGGCGGCGGAGGAAGGAGAGTCCGGCGAAGCACGTGCTGGTGGAGACGGTGCTGAGTCAGCAGCACGCGGTGACGTCTTTGGCGGTGGCGATGGCGGGGGCGGGGGTGGTGTACGCGGGGTCGTCGGACGGGCTGGTTTTGTTCTGGGAAAGGGAAAGGGATGAGAAGGGCCGCTGCAGCGTGTCGTACGGCGGCGTTTTGAGGGGGCACAAGAACCATCAGGCGGTGCTGTGCGTGGCGGTGGGAGGGAAGCTGGTGGCGAGTGGGTCGGCGGACAAGAGCATATGCGTGTGGCGGAGGGACGTCGGCGGGGAGCACGGGTGCGTGGCGGTGCTGACGGGGCATGACGGTCCGGTGAAATGCCTATGCTTGGCAATGGAGGCGGGAGATGAAGACGAAGAAGAAGATGAAGACGAGGATAACTATAAATGTAACTATAACTGGATTGTGTATAGTGGGAGTCTGGATAGGAGTGTCAGGATATGGAGGCTCTCGGACTCTAGCTAGCTACCTGCTAACACTGGCGTGAAAAAGCAAGAAAAAAGATTGAACAAAAATAATGACTTAAAATTGAATGTCATCTATTTCATTTTAGGCTTCCTTTTTTTTTTTTTTTTTTTTTTAACCCAAAGTCATCGATCATAAAAAGCAAACATAAAATGGCTCCTAAGGTGGGTTGATTAGCAAGTCTCGGCTTAGAATTGCGTCCCTCACAAATCATCTCTTACAATAATTTTTTTTATACTTTCTCAATTTTTATTATAACAAAATTTATTATTTTTATTAAGAAATATAGTTAAGACCAAAAAAAAGAAAAATATTTTTCTCGCGATTTATTTCAGTCTCTCTCTCTTTATATATTTGTAAACGGAATTCCGTCCCTAACATAGACAAAAATATTTTGTTACAAAAATAATTTTTTGTTGTAGTGATCACCCCTTCCTGCCTCATTCTCAGTATCATCACACACCCATGTACCCATCGTCTTCTTTTTCACGTTCTTTGTTCGTTGTCCTCTTCAGTTATGAGGTTGTTAAGTTCCTTGCACTAATTTGTATTTTTTTTTTGTTAACAATACTATTAATTGGTCAGTTTTTGTTGTTAAATTAATTTGTATCCGGTTAGTCTTAGTCTTAGTGTTTGTTGTAGTAATGCAATTTCACTTTAGATTCATGGACAATTTATATGTAATTTCGCTATTGATCTTCAACTGCACAGATATTCCAAAGGTTAAACTATTTGAAAATCTGTCCAACAATGGCACCCCTTGTAAAGGCTACCTTTTAAGAAGTTTCACCGGGAAGGGATACGAAAAAATTCCTCCAGATGCTAAATAATCTTAGGTTCCTTTATTTACTTGCTTATGCTTCCTAATTACCCCAATCAGCTGGTATGTTTTCAATATGGGTTTTTGGACTTTGATTTAATATTTTGGAAGGTAAAAATGATTTGGGATGATGTTATGTTTGATGAGTTGTTGTTGGCTATGGACAAGATAAATCTGTAAGTCATTTCTCTTCTATTTTTTTTTTTATTTACTTAATTATTTAGTTTTGTAATATTTGGGTTATATGGAGTTGAGATATTTGAAGTTGCGTTTAAATTTTTATAAAGTTATATTTGAAACGCAGTGAAGAGAGACTCTATTATGTATGTATATAGGTGTAATTAGTGAAGTTTCATTTGATCCTTTATTGATATTCGTCTCTAAACTTGCCCAAACAGTTCAAACCGCCGATTACGATTTGTCAGAATTTCAAACGGAAATCGAACCTTCCGAATAACGGTTTCGGTTTAAAAACCGCCGGTTTATATTAATTTTTTTCCGATTTTTTTCTTAATATTAATTTTTATGGTTAATTTTGATTTTGATTTTAATTTACTAAATCTTTGTATTTTTGTGAAAAATTATATAAATAATACTTCATTTTTATAAAAGAATTATTTATCAATTTATTAATTAAGAATTAAGAATACAGTTAATACAATTGTTTAATAAATTAATTTGTAAATTAAATCACACTGTTAGAAATTATAATTTCTTTTGTTCAAGACCAATGGAGTGTATTCAACATAGATTTTACAGAATTTTGACAGACTTTTAAAATTCAGATATATTCAATCGGACTTTTAAAAGTCTTTCAAAATCTTGTATTCAATCTAGACTTTTAGAAGTGTTTTAAAATTTGAAGGTATTCAATCCAGAAAATTCGGAAGTATTCAACAATCCATGGACTTTTAAAAGTCTATGGATTTTATTGGATTTTAATGGAATGGTATAAAAAATTTGTATGGTACAAAATTTCTCCTGCAAAGATTTTGAGGGATTCTTGAAAATATATTATTATTATTATTATTATTATTATTATTATTGTATGAGTAATAAATATTATAATATTATTAAAATATTTTAATAAAATAATAATTTAAAATTAAAATATACTAGCAAATTATTATCAATTTTTAAAAAATATGTGTTTTTATATTATAAATATAATATTTAAAAAATACAAATATTTTATCATAATAAATATGTATTACAATTATCATCTATTTTAAATTATCAAATACATTTTTATTGTGCCATTCTTCGTTGAATCGTTAATTTATATTAACTTTTTTTTTTAATTTTACTTTTTTAATTTCAAATATTTTCTGCAAAAATGGTAAATTTGGATCTTGATTTTATATATATGTTTAATTTATGCAATAAATATATAAATCATAAATTTTATGCAATAAATATATAAATCATAATACCAAATATAAATTAAAATAAATTGATATACCGAATGATAATAATATACAAAAATATTAATATACAAAAATAGTATCATGTTAAAATATTTCTACATTATTAATAATTTTTTTAAAAATATTTATTAAATAATATCATATGAATTTTCAATCGAATATGAAATTTAATTAAGATTTCCCACATTTTGACAAGAAAGATGAAAATTCACAAACAACGAAAGCTAATGTATGAATAATGAATATTGCTAATATTACGTGGAAAATGAGACCATAATAATAATAATAATAATAATAATAATAATAATAATAATAATGTATTTTTAAAAAATTAATATTTATTAATATTTTTATTTAATAATTTGAATAAAAATTGTTTATATAAATATAAATAATTATATAAATTAATAAAAATAATTTTTATAATCCTATCAAATTCATATAAATCCATAAGTAATTGAAAATCAATGAAAATCCATCTAAATCAATTAATAAAATCCACTAAACTCTGTATGGACTCTGTAGATTTAGAAAATCCACACAAATTTATAAACTTTTTAAAATCTAATAAAATCCTATAAAATTTTAAATGAATACACGCCCGTAAGATTATTTTTTATGTCATTTACATTAGAATTTAAATTTATAAATTATTTAATTAGATAATTTAAAGATTGCCGACTTTTTAAATTAAAACAACTTTTTTTGTTCTTTTCTTTTTTAAAAAAAAAAGGTTAATTCAACTTTCAACTTTCAAATTTCAAGTAAACAAAATTTTTTTTAACTAATTATTTTATAAAAAAAATTGTAATTATAAATATATAAATAATAATTATTCAAAATTATTAACTTTATTATTTTTAAATTATTTCTAAATTTAAAAAAAAAAGAAAACAATTCAATTTTATCAATTCTTATCGTTTTATGTTATTAATAATATTATAAATTTTAGAAAAATTATTTGTGTAAACAATGAAATTATATGTGTGATAATTTCACTTAAAAAAAAGTTTTAAGTTCTTTTTTCATTATTTATAATTATATTATTATATTTTATGATTATGATTATATATATGCTCCTATAATACTATGTTAGTAAACATTTTATTTAAGAAATTAAGTTGTGTTTAATTAATGGGGCTTGGACATAATTTTAAATAAGAAATCTAATTTAGAAGTTTAAATTTATGTTGCTTATATATCCAATTGGAATCAAAGCTCACGCAGTTCTTTTAAATATTATATACTAATCTAAACATACTTTAAATTAATAAATTTAATCATCAGTTTAGGTTATATTTTGAAGATCATCACTTGAATCCGTATTAGTAGGTTCACATTTGACTTTTATTTTCAGTTTTTACCCAATTATCAAGTAAAAAATTGATTTTCTAAGTGTTCAATAGTTAATTTAGAACGTCTAGCACTTAATGATAACCACCCATACTAAAAGCTTGTTCAACGGCTACAATTGACACGGGACAGACAAGTATTTCTTTTGCAATTAGTGTCATTATTTGATAAGTAGATGCTCTTTTAGACCACCATTTTAAAATATCAAATTCTTCTAGTTCATTTTCACTATATTCAAAAGTAGTTTTTAAATAAGTTTCTAATTCTAAATATGAGTTTGAAATTTCTTTAGAACGTTTACGTTCTTTTACATTATAAAAATTATAAAAGAGTGAAAGTTGAGATAAACTATCACGATAAAAAACACTAGAACTTGTATCCATATTTTGGCTAGGATCAATTTTACAAGCACTAAATTATTGTTTATATTCTCTATAAATATCCATTAAAAGTTGTTTTGCTCCATATGCAATTGAAGTAGGGTTAGAGGTTTCATTATCTTTTTTCAGAAAATAATGAGTCGTAATAATATGTTAACAATTAATCCATCTAATCTTACTCTAGGATCAAATATTTTAGCAATTAAGAATATATAAGGTAAATATAAAAAGTATTAAAACCATTTACGTTTAATAGAAACAATAGCATTTTGAAGTAAACAATTTAAAGATTCCTTTAATATTAAAGCAATTTTAATACAATGATCTATAGCCAAATTAGAAGTAAGTTAATAAATACCATATAATTCAATAGTTGCATCATTAAAAACTTGTAATATTTCACACAAATTTGAACATGAATCCCATTGTTGTAGAAATAAAGTAAAATCACATTCACATGCTTCTCGTGAGAAAAAATCACATAGTGCATTTCTATATTCATATGAACCACATAGCATTTTATAAGTGGAATTCCATCGATTTGAAACATCAAACAATTTTATTTTTTTTTTTTTGTTGTAAATTATTTTGTCTACAATATCTTTTCCATCATTTTAATAATGAGACATGTCTTACTGGACAAGAAATTGTTTATTTAATAGTATGTATATGCTCTTTCAAACAAGATAAACCATCTTAAAACACATAAATTTAAAATATGACAAAAACATCTAACATGAAGAAATTTATCACCAATTGATGGTTGACAAAATTCAATAAGAAATTTAAACTAGTTGTATTAGCACTTGCATTATCAAATAAAATTGAAAAAAAAAATTGTAAGTAAATTATATTATTGCAAATTAGATCAAATCATGTGAGAAATATTTGTTATGGTGTATTCTACATCAAATTTTCTATATGCAGTTAAAAATTTTTGTAAAGTCCATGAGTTATCAATGCAGTGACATGTAATGCCTATATAATAATGTTCTTGTCAATGATCTCTCCAAACATTCGAGCATATGGAAACTTTATTTTGTAAATTATTAAATATATTAATTAATTCTAATTTTCATTCACCAAC